AGAAGTCTGGGGAGTTTTGAGGCTGGAGGAGATGTCTCTTGTTGGAGGTGAAAGTAAACTCAAACGCAGTTTCTTAGTTTTTTTTAAGATGCAGCTATTTTTATGAAGACAGACCTTCCCAGAGGATCATTTGTCCTGGGCTGGATGTCCCCAGTCCCAGTCTGCTGAACACCTAGGTTTTCATTATATGTAAATGACTCTGCACTCAACAGAACAAATAAGTACTTATTTAATCTAAGAAATTCTGCTATATGAATGAGAGGACAATCTGTATGTTTCATCAGTATAACTGACTTATATTGTTAAGTTTATTTAAAAATCAGAAATGATATTGTCTAGCATATATTAATCATCTTCTATCTATTAGCACAAAATTAAGTATGTGGAAAAACTGCCCTCAGTGAGCTGATTTTTTGGGATATTGGCTGTGAAGTGAGCTGTGGACATCAAACAGGGAATTGCTTCATGCTCTGTCAGGTTCCTTCATTGGGGAAATGTCCAGGGAGGTTAAAAGCGGGCTAGAGGGGAGGTGAGGGGGCCTTGGAAAAAAAACCTGTCACATTTTGTCCCTCATTTACCCAGCGCTGCTCTAAATTTAGCAGTGAATAGCATCCATACTAGGAGAGACCCTGGCAGGCGTGCAGTCATGTGAGTGCGAGAGCGTCTTCCTGGGGGCTGACCAGCTGACGTCCTTCAGGGGAATGAAGATGTGCAGAATCAGCCTGACTGTCTGGAATGTCAGCAAACTCCAAGCTGTGGGGCTGTTACAGGGTGAGGAGTCGTAAGGTCATGTTCAGCGTCTACGTTCGCGGGCAGTGGCTCCTACAACTCAACAAACTGTGTGTGGTGCTAACAACACACAGGTTGTGGGTTCCAATCCCAGGGAGCATCCATAAATTGTAACCATACACTATCAGGGAGAAACGTCTTGGGTACAGCTCTGGTACCTTTGTGCCCCCAAGGTACAAACAACTTTAATGTACCTACAATTGTACAAGAATGTTCTTCAAGGTACATTTATCTACTGCTACACCATCAGAAAAAAAGGGTACCAGTTTTTACCTTTGCTTGTCAACGGGGCTGTACCTTGAAGGGTCTGCCAATTGTCCCCTAGCTGTAGGTAAATGTGCCTTTTAAGGTACCTAAATGGACTATGATGAAGATTTTTGTACCATTGGGAGTACATTAATGCTGTTTGTACCTTGGCGATGTTCCTCTGAGTCCATTTCTGTACATTAAAAGGTACAATCACCTACAGCTAAGGGTACAATTCTCAGACCCGTGAGGGTACAGCCCCTGTGACAAGAAAAGGTACAAATTGGTACTTTTTTTTTTCTGACAGTGTATCATAAGTCACTTTGAATAAAAGATATTTTTATTCTTCTTCCACCATGGTTGAAATGTTTGGGATAATCTGAATTTAATTTTAACTTTATTTACTTATATTGCATCCAGAACAAAAACAGTTAATTGCATGATATTGCATATTTTGTAAGGGTAACAACCAAGTGACCATTTCTTTTAAGACTGCATTAAAACAGCACAGTAACACATGGTATTTTACATTGTTGAGAAATCAAATGTGACAATATTTTATCAAGGTCACAAAAACATCTCGTGCTGCTGTCTTACACTGGTTTTCCTGGTACAGATACTCAGGTTTTACCACAGATAAAATAAAGGGGGCGCTGTTGTAACCATTAGGGAGTAAACAGTATGGGGTTTGACGGCAGTACTTAGATTATTTACCCGAACTTCGAGCTTTGGATATTTTCCACATGAGAAATACAAAACTAGACAGGAAAATCAAAACACAGAAGGAATGTAATATTTCACCCTCACTTCCTGAGGAATGTTTTCCAGTATTAGGTATTCAACATGACTTCCTTTTCAGATATAAATGCTTGTTTTGGCGAGATGTCTGCCTCCTTCTCAGGGCTCACAGCCTCCACATCCCGTCTAAGTTCTAGCAGGGACAGTAGTTTTCTTGTCACTAAAGAAGCTTCTGAGCATGACGACCTGGCCGATGCTGATGACAAACAGGAAGAGGGTCTCCCCTATGGACCAGTAGGAGACTCGGTCCTGGAGGTCTTCTGCCCTGATGCGGTCTTGGGCCTCCCTAAGTCTGTACCATGTCTGCGACTCCACGACCACCTTCAGGATCTCATGGATGGACATGCAGGCAGATTCCATCTAAAAACAAGTTACATGGTCACATTTGCAAGGCCTGTGGGAGGCTGGACACATTCATCCTCAGCTTCTTCGAGAAAAGTCATACCTGCGTGAGGGCTGTTGTTTTGGTAATGTCAGGAAGAAGCGGAGTCTCGTCCCCAGCTCGGAAATCCAAATAGATCATTTTGTGGGAAAAGGTGGAGAACTCATTACTGAAGCACACCTTATACACACCCTTCGTTGTTGTGGTGTGAGAGAAGCTGTCATACTGCTTCTTGCGTTCCTGATACAGGATATTGTTCATAGGATCTGTCACAAAGCAATCAACATCATAGTTCCCTCCAGCGATAACCTAAGTTAGGTGAGAAACAGAGGGAGACGTGAGGCTGTAAAACAAAACATGCATGGGAACCAGAGTCCTGTTGTTTCAACAGCTTATTGCAAGATGCCGTAAGTGTCAAACTGAGTAAATGTTTACTGAACGGCGTTCCTAGCGAACAGTTACAAGAATCAGACATGCGCACTGAACTTAACCACCACCCTTTAACATAAAAGGAGATATGAAAAATACCAGATTTTACGGTGTGTCATTGATTTTAAAAATCGAGTCACCGAAGTATATCGACGAGTACAGGCCAACCTTTTTAAAAGGAAAACTTACTTGGAAATCAAGATTAAACTTAACTTCGCTCTCAAGTTCTTCGTGAAAGCACTGCCTTTCGTTATCCGGCAATTCAAACGTTAACTCTGTGCTCCAGACTGCAGTAACATGGAAGAGCGCAGCGCAAAGCCAGAGGAGCCGCATGCTTCTGGGCGAAAGCTGGCGACACAGCGCGTATGTGCAGCGGATCAGCTCGCCCGGAGAGTCGCAGCCTGGGCGATGCAGCCCTCCGATGATCCCCCTTTCGCTACGACTGACGTGGCATGAAAGAGTAGCACTTCCGGGGATGCACCGGTCCGCCTTTACTGAAACGTGCAGAATGTCCGACAATTGTGTGGCTGGTCTGTAAACTTTTACCGGCGCCCCGTGCAGAATGTCCAGTCAATACAGACCGGTCTGTAAACTGTAGCCAGTGTTCAGATCTAACGTTTCTGCCACTTATTCCTGAAGTGACGTGCGCAGACTTTTCGAGGGGCAGGTGCTCGAAAAGGGGGGCGTACTTTTTGCCGGCAGAAGGGGAAGTCCACCGCCCCCATGAAAAAAAAAGTCTATTCTGGCGAGCCAGGGGTTAGATAGATAGATAGACAGACAGACAGAAGGGGTAGCATGGTGGCACCTGGGTTCAAGTCTCTGCCATGGCTCCATGTGTGTGGAGTTTGCATGCTGTCGTCGTGGGATTTCCTTTGCCCCCAAGTCCAAAAGCATGCTGATTCGAGTTTCCAGATTGTCCGTAGGTGTGTGAATGTGCCTTGCGATGGGTTAGCGCCCCATCCTGGGTTGTTCCCTGCTTTGCGCATGTAGCCTCCGCGATAGGCTCCGGATGGATAGAGATCTAGACAGATAAATGCCACGTATCAGACAAACTCATTTGAATATATATATATATATATATATATATATATATATATATATATATATATATATATATCAGTTATTTATTAATAGTTGTCTTTAGTTGTACCCTAAATAGTGTTAGTCTTATTTTAAATGTTGAAATGTGCCCAACCGGGGGTTACGGAGGTCTGCTGGTCTGATTAATAATGCAGTTGCGAGAACTGTCCACTTGGGGTCAGTATTAGATTATATAGAGCGAATATTCACGCAAATGTTTCTAACAAAATTTCTATGAAGAGCGCCTCTGTTAAAGAGAAAAAGCTTGTGTTAGTACAGCTTTATATTCAGAATTCAGGGTGATTTTTTAAATTTCTTTTCAGAGAAATTTCGTTTATAAAATTTCTGGCAGCAATTTTAGGCTATATAGCTTACATCAAGGGGCAGCATGGTGGTGCAGTGGTTAGTACTGTTGCATCACACCTCTGCCAGCATCTCATGTGTGTGGAGTTTGCATGTTCCCCCTCTGTCGTCGGGTTTCCTGTAGGGACTCTGGTTTCCCCCCACAGTCCGAAAAAGCTAATTGGAGTTACCAAGTTCCCTATAGGTGTGTGAGTGTACCCTGCGATTAGTTGACACCCCATCTGGGGGTGTTCCCTGCCTTACACCAGTGGCCTCTGGGATAGGTTCCGGACCCTCCTGTGACCGTGGATAAGACAAGTAGTTTCAGAAAATGAATGGATGGCTTACATGAAGTAGTAAAATGCAGAATGTATCCTCTTGAAATGTTAGTAAGTGAGTAAGCTTTTCTCTTAATGCACAGTAGGCTACAGTATGTTTGAATTTCAAAAATTCTGCTTCAAACATTTTGTGGTAAAGCCGAAGTATGAATGCTATGTAACATAATCATAATTAGATTTTCTGTTTTTTTTTTCTATGTCTACTCTGAGCCACTTCTAGTATTTATAACTTTCATCTGAGTCAATTGCAAGACAGATGAATTTGCAGGCAGGTGGCTTTGCAGTTCTGAAGCTTTATGGTCACTGTAACCAGTGTGTGTGGTTTTAAGGTGTTCCAGGTCATTAAATTATAAATGGTAGATAGATGTCATACTGTCAGCTTAATATGGTGTGATCTTCATGCTCTACGTAAATTGACCTTCTTATCTCAGTAATCACAAAACGGATTAGTGCATTTTTATTTATTTGTTTTTCTGCGACTACATTAAATAAAGTGAACCCACAAGCCCTTGGAAAAACTAGGCTTAAGCCTCGTATCTTTTAGTAAGACTATTCACGAGAAAACAAAATTCATTGCAGGACATTTATTGAAAACATTCAGAACACTACAAAAAGCTGTACATTACATTCAGTAAACGCAAAGGGTCGTCTTTCGGATGTCACGTGGAAGCTGTACAGCTTGGGATTAGCCTTGTAAGCTAATACTGTGAACATGAACAGATAAGGGTCTCCTAAGGTAATCGCTTTACAGCTGAATTCTATATTACATTAATAAAATAAAATCCAGAAGTAGTTGTTTGGGCATACCTTCAAATTCCAACACGAAAGTATAATTTACATTTAAACATCAAACATCTTCGAAAGTAATGTTTTATCCTATTTGCGTCCTTTTCACAAAAAAAAATAAAGCTAAAAAGCTCAATCGCGTTGTCTTGATGATGCAACATTTTGACTAACTATTAATTTGTTAGTTCGCTTGGGAAGGCCCGTTGTACTGCAGCTCCCAAGACAGACTACACTGGGAAATATTATGCTATAGCATGTGTCATTTTTAACACACTTTCTAGAAACTTGAACCAAGGCTACTTTACCACAGGTTTTCCTATATATTTATGTAGACCTAAATACACTTCATTTTGCCCGGACGTATTATAATCATTCAAATCAACTTGGCGGTGGTTCATGTTTGCTGAAGACCCCGGTCATTTTGGTAATTAAACAGGGACCCTGCCACAGTTGCTTAGCTGTTTTTGCGCCTCGCTTGTCAGTGCTTTTCACTGATGTTCAGCTGTGCTCTTCGTGGTCATTATGGAGTCAGTATTATAACAACGGTGTGTCGTTATCCAGGTAACCTCTGAGTTTGGTTAATATGCTGATAAGTTTAAAGGGTTTAGTATTACGAATATGATTTAGCAAAGTAAGCTGTCAGAGTCGCTACCCATCTAATCACTTAAGACATACCATGTGAAGGGATCTTGAAGAGCTGCCTGTGTTGCTACAAACGACTATTGGGAGAATTTGGAGTTCAATTATTTAATATTTTATATTCGTCAATATTTTATGTATCCCAACCGTTCGTGTCACACCTGCCAAATGTAGTTTGAACCTTGAATTATTTTAAATAGTCACTGTTCTTCATTTCATGTATTATTTTATTCCACATTTATTAGCATTTAGTTTTGCCAGTAATCTTTTATTATAATGTATTATGATAACCTAAAATAACTGATATTAATGACGCAGAGGGATGAATATCTGTGTTACGTCGTTCACCATTCAGCAGAATCTTCTGGAGAACAGAACCTGTACAATGAAGCCTGAATGCGAATGTCACTGTGAAAACGTGATTCTGGGGATTTTAAAAATAACAGCGAAAAAATGGTAAAGTACTACAAAGACTAAAAAGGAATGTGTCAGTTTTGTATTTGTCCCGTGTAATAAGCTTTCACAGAAAACACAAAATGCCTTTAAACCAAAGTAACCTAAGACATTCTGTTATTTGCATATATAATATATTATATAAACACAAACAGCAGAAACCTGCTTTGATATACTGATTTTCTCAACTGCTTTATCCTGAAGGCACCATAAACCACTAAAGGCTGCAGACAATTAACCCTTGCATTGTCATATCACTAGAGTGACTCTAATGTGAAACTGCTCGTCAGTTATCTTTTTATTTTTTTTTTTTGCAATTTTCCTCCTTTTTACATTAACAGAATCCCCTGACCGAATCACAATGGAAATCCTGCATCACCATAATGTAACTGCCGATTCACACTACAGCTTTTAAAATAACAAAAACATGACGTTGTGCCAAATGTAGCAGTAATGTGACCGACATGAGACTGACACTCTCCAGCTCCAACTGCAGGATGAATTCGGCACTGCTTCTGGCTTCTCATTGAGGAGCATCTCAGCTGGCTTTTCTCACAGGCTTCTCTCTCATTTTAGGTTGGATGCTGTTGGCTGAGATTCATGTTCTCGCACCTCTCAGCTCCGAGAACTTTTGAAGGACGCAGGAGACCAGTAGGGATATGTAAATACAGAGCTTTTTACACCATAAATTTGTAGATGGCATGTGACAAGGCAGTGAATACTACACACTCCCCTCCAGAGTCTGGCTTTTGGCTTATTTTCTAAACTGCTAAGAAATGCAGGCTGTTTGCTATTGTCAAATGTTCCCTTCCGCCAAGGCCATCGTTAGACTCCCGTGTGCGAAATGAGGCTCGCAGCTGAACGCAGATCTTGTGAGACTGAACATCCACAAGGATGCAGCTCGATACAACTTTCAGAGCAGAACATAGCTTAAGGTGTTCCAGAAGGTTTGGCTCTGACTCAAAGGCAGCCACCTCCTCTCTCCTGGTGAGTGTGATGAGTTGCATCACTGGTCCCTCTACTGGTTAGCTAGCTCTTCGAAACCAGACAGCTGCTTCATTTGCTCCACTTGCATAGAGTGTCTCCTCACCAGCTTCTTCTTGGGTTTTGATGTGCCTCTCTTTGGTGAGTTGGGTGCCATTGGTATGATGGACCTGATGCCCACGGTGAGAGGGGAAGAGGGCTTGCTAGAGGCTCCGATGTCGGGAATCGGGGGGTTGGGATTGACATTGAGGGGTGGAAGGAAACCGGGCCGTGTGTGGGAGATATAGTCCAGGAGCAAGGTGCCGGATCCACGTCGTTCCAGCAGCCCTGGGTCCCTGCGGCGGGCTGTGGCGGGCGACGTACCAGCACTGCTGTCCAGTGATTCCCGGGAGCCGCTCAGTATGGTCCGTGGAGACATGTTGTTCTTCCTCCGCTCCAAGGCTGCCCTGGGAGAGTCCAGCACACCTGAGTCGCAGTACAACTGTGAATCCGAGTCAGAGAGCTCACTTCCCAGAATCTTCCAATGCATGGCGTCCCTCAGGCTGACTGGCATGCATGTAGGAATGCCACTGGTCTGGGCGAGGGGCTTATCATGAGACATCCTGCGAGGTGTGGGCAGCACCTTAGAAGATAGATCGCCCATGGAGGGGAAGGATCCAGAGCCCTCTTTGTTCTCCGTGCTGTTGTGCCGTGATAGAGATGCTCTTTTGGATAGTGCGAGGCCATTAAGGCCAGCGATGACATCCTCATCAGAATTGGCTCTTTTACTGTCCTCTTTGGCCGCAGCCAGGACTGAGGGCGCGATGAGGCCCCACGGTTCAGACTGCAGCCGTTTGAGCTGCGGCAGCCGCGCGCGTTTAGTGTTGACTGGCTTCCTGATGGGAGACGCCGGCTCGGTCAGGAGCTTGCTAGGCGTGGTGGTTCCGCCGCCACTCCCCGCTGCCCGTTTGGCCTGGAAGCCGAAGACTGTGTCCTGCGGTTTGTCGTCTTCGGGGGAAGGCGGAGATTGAACGGTGATTTCCGAGGGGGAGGTGCACACTTCTGGGGAGTATCTGTCCTCCAACTCGGGGGATGGGGGGACATTAAGGTACTGCTTGGTAGTTTTGGTGCCTGATGGAGACTTGTCCGTGGTGATGATGATCACTTCCTTGCCTTTGGCTTTGCAGGCATCCAGCAGGAGTTTTAAGGTTTCCTTGTCATCTGCATTTATGGCATGAACAAGTGCCGAGGCCCCGCTGCGGTCCTCTATGCTGGGGTCCGCGCCATTGCTCAGTAGCAGGGACACCAGCTGGTGACCAGCCTTCTGGCTGCAGGCGTGCATGAGGGCTGTCCGGCCTGCCTTATCCTGGATGTTGGGGTCAGCCTTATTCTCCAGAAGGTACTTCACCAGCTTGGCCTTGCTGGCGCTCTGCTGGTCGCTGTGACGGGACATGCAGGCCACCATGAGTGGCGTCTCCCCTCGCTCATTGCTCTCGTTTATATATGCCCCGCCTTCTAGCAGCAGCCGCGTCAGACGCAAACGCCGAAGCCACACGGCCTTCAGCAGCGAGTTTCCGTCCGTCCGAAGCTCCAGCATGTCGTCCATCATCCGGACCGGGCTTCTCACTGCTTCCCTCAGGCCTGGCGTCGCATTAAAGCCTGGTGGAAAAGTGCAGAAAGAGCACTTACAATGATGATGCTCACAGAGAGGACACTTACAATCACAATATGTACAGAGAGGATGCTTATAATTGCAATACTTACAGCGAGGATGCATGTAATCTTAATACACTGCTCAAAAAAATTAAAGGAACACTTTGAAAACACATCAGATCTCAATGGGAAAAAAATCATGCTGGATATCTATACTGATATGGACTGGGTAATGTGTTAGGAATGAAAGGATGCCACATTGTTTGATGGAAATGAAAATGATCAACCTACAAAGGGCTGAATTCAAAGACACCCCGAAAATCAAAGTGAAAAAATGATGTGACAGGCTAGTCTATTTTGCCGAAATTTCATTGCAGCAACTCAAAATCATACTCAGTAGTTTGTATGGCCCCCACGTGTTTGTATGCATGCCTGATAATGTTGGGGCATCCTCCTAATGAGACGATGGATGGTGTCCTGGGGGATCTCCTCCCAGATCTGGACCAGGGCTTCACTGAGCTCCTGGACAGTCTGAGGTGCAACCTGGCGCCGTCGGATGGACTGAAACATAATGTCCCAGAGGTGTTCTGTTGGATTTAGGTCAGGCGAACATGGGGGCCAGTCAATGCTATTAGTTCCTTCATCCTACAGGAACTGCCTGCATACTCTCCCCACATGAGGCCGGGCATTGTCAGGCACCAGGAGGAACCCAGGACCCACTGCACCAGCGTAGGGTCTGACAATGGGTCCATGGATTTCATCCCGATACCCAATGGCAGTCAAGGTGCTGTTGTCTAGCCTGTAGGGGTCTGTGTGTCCCTCCATGGATATGCCTCCCCTGACCATCATTGACCCACCACCAAACCGGTCATGCTGAACAATGTTACATGCAGCATAATGTTCTCCACGACTTTTCAGACCCTTTCACATCTGTCACATGTTCTCAGTGTGAACCTGCTCTCATCTGTGAAAAGCACAGGGTGCCAATTCTGGTATTCTACGGCAAATGCCAATCGAGGTCCACAGTGCCGGGCAGTGAGCACAGGGTTCACTAGAGGACGTCGGGCCCTTAAACCACCCTCATGAAGTCTGTTTCTGATTGTTTGCTCAGAGACATTCACACCAGTGGCCTGCTGGAGGTCATTCTGTAGGTTCTGGCAGTGCTCCTCCTGTTCCTCCTTGCACAAAGGAGCAGATACTGGTCCTGCTGATGGGTTAAGGACCTTCTCTGGCCCTGTCCAGCTCTCCTAGAGTAACTGTCTGTCTCCTGGAATCACCTCCATGCCCTTGAGACTGTTCTGGGAGACACAGCAAACCTTCTGGCAATTGGCATGTATTGATGCACCATCCTGGAGAAGTCGGACTACCTGTACAACCTTTGTAGGGTCCAGGTATCACCTCATGCTACCAATAGTGACACTGACTGTAGCCAAATGCAAAACTAGTGAAAAAACAGTCAGAAAAGATGAGGAGGGAAAAATGTCAGTGGCCCCCACCTGTTAAACCATTCCTGTTTTGGGGGTTGTCTCATTTTTGCCCCTCTAGTGCACCTGTTGTTAATTTCATTAACACCAAAGCAGCTGAAACCGATTAACAACCCCCTCTGCTACTTAACTGACCATGTCAGTATCCCAGAAGTTTAACTGACTTGATGCTATACTCTGATTAAAAAGTGTTCCTTTAATTTTTTGAGTAGTGTACTTACAGAGAGGATACTTGCAATATTTACAGAGTACACATGCAATCACGATACTTACAAAGATGACTCTTGCAGTCACAATATTTGCAGAGAGGACACATAATCACAATCCTTACCGAGAGGATTCTTACAATTGCAATATTTACAGAGAGGATTCTTATAATCACGGTACTTACAATCACGATATTTAAACAGAGAATACTTAAAGGAAGGGCACTTCCAATCATAATATTTACAGAGGATACTTACAATTGCAATATTTAGACTACAGAGAGGATTATTACGATTGCAATATTTAGAGAGGACGCTTACAATCACGATACTTACAGAAAGGCGCTTACAATAACGTTATACACAGAAAGGCGCTTACAATAACGTTATACACAGAAAGGCACTTACAATAACGTTATACACAGAAAGAACGCTTAATACTTACAGACAGCACACTTTAACAATACAGGCTCCAAAATACAGTTTCATTCATTCATTATTTCTCTCGACCACACAATATACCTATACTTAAAACAGTATATGCGTTTTATGTATCCAAGCACCAATTTCTTTGGTTATCCCCAATATCACACGATTTTGAAGACTTTTTAAAAATTATTGTTGTAGAAGGTATACATTTGTTTATGCGACATACTTGGCTCTAACTAATAATAATGTTAACACTAATAATGTTAACAATATTAACGTCTTTGTCTTCGGTGTACTACATGATAGAATCCGAAAAATTGGGAATTAGACATGGTATACGAATTTCAATTCCCCACCAGTGTGCCATCACTGTACATTAATTAAACGATCAGACTTGCCATGCGTCCGTAAAAAAAGTCCGCGCACCGCCTCTTTACGGCTTTGACTTAAAGGAGGACGCACGGTGCGTCGTGCAATGATAATGTTTCTGTATCCTGCATCCTCATTACTTTTTCAAAATAATGTTAGGGTGCGGTGTCCCTCGGTAATTAAGACCCTATATAATCACCTTAATCAAGGTTATAATTTGTAACATTGCCGTTCATAGTGCTTAGTATGTATGTCGATCCTGGACTGGCCATTTGTTCAGTTGTTATGATATATGGTCTTGTCCTCATCTATGATGCAGCGTTTCTTTTGAGCTGCTTTCTAATTCAGGGTAGGAATGTTTGAGGGATGGTTTAAAGCTTGTTTTAGGCGGTGTATTCAAAGTTTTGCAATCTCAGAACAGGTGTGTAATTGTCTGGAGGTGTGCAGTCATAAAAGGGAAGTCTTTGCGGATTCCTGCAGAAGACTTCCGTGCTGGTCGCCGGTGGTTCAAAAACCGAATGAGTCACTTTGCTGGTGTTTCCATTATTTTGTCCACTACCAGTAAGTTAATGCTTATTCGTAACCTTTTTACATTGTATGCACCGATATTGACGATGCGTCTTATTATTGGGCTCATAGTTTATTACTAAACTTGAATGCATAATATTTTCAAACTAGCTAGAAGTGGCATGACTGCTGCCTTCACCGGCTGTAAACTTGTTCCGGTCCCTGGGCTGCGGTTGGACCAGGCTGCTGTCCATGGTCCTCAGCTGGAAACTTGTCCATAGCACGTTACAGCGTCTGTTTGAGCTAATAACAAACGATCGTTTGCATATAACGACAGTGCGTTTTTTTAAAGACCAGAGGAGTCCATCGTGTGTGCTTAGGCATTTCGTATATGATTACATATTTAATTGAGTCTTCGTGATTAAATGTCACTCTAACGATTTTATTAAGAACGGTAGTGTTAAGCGAACATTTGATATGTTTAATTTCTTTAAATTAACATTATATATTAATTTGGATGACATGTTGTCCGTTAACACTTAATTTTAATTATACCACTACACCACTAGAAATAGTATTCTGTTTAATCAGATATGGAGAAATACAGGTATTTTAGTAGTTTCAATAAATTAATGCTTACCCCATGAGGTGATAATTGTGCAGCTTCAGAATATTCCGAAATGTCAGGCTGTTAAGGTCCAGTTCTCCGGGGGCGTCCTGAAATTCACCGGCATTATTCTCTCTTTCTGAGTTTCTTCATCGGCAGAGCTCCTGTTTCGAACATACTTCTATACGCCTTTGCCGCTATAACTAAACGGAGATGTGGGTGGATCTATTCCTACGGTAAGTCACCAGATGAGTCCGATGGCAGCATCCCTATCAGGCAGCTCTGGAAAAACACCCAAGATGTTGGGTGTATAAATAACTTACCGCTGGCTGAATGAAACGTGCGGATCATTGACGTCAGAATATACAGAAATAACTACTGCGTCTAGTAAGGACCTTTTTGGTAAAGAGTAACTTACAAACAACCTAAAACTCAGTTTTATATATTATAGATGTAAGGTGTTGATTTTGGGGGGAGGGGGCATGTAGATGGAAAACGCAAGTCTAATAAGCCAAGTTCGCACCAATTCTAAAAAGGCATTCTGGGTCTACGAGTCTAATCTTACGTATCCTCATTAATGCTGTAAGTTATGTGCCTGTTATGGAATCTGTAAAGTTTTAGTGCACCAGTTGCACTGAGGACGTGTTCCTATGTAAATATGATGATAGAAGTTAGGAAATCTAATGGTCCAAAAGTAGCCTTTGCAGTTTCGAGGCGTGTCATTTAATGGAAGTTTTCATTTCAGTTTCAGTAATAGGACGCCAGGAAGATATTAATTAGACGCACGGAATAATCATTCTGTATTTCCTTTGATGGGCAGCGGGATATGGGTTAGTATAAATAATATATAATTCAGTGTCCTTCTTCAGGACATTTAAGGAAAGCTGAAAAACAAATTGAGCTGCGTATCTGAAAATAATTTTGCAAGCTTGGGAAAGGTCCGTGGTTCCGTGGTGTTGAATTTGAACTCGTGTGTTACGGTTCAATTCCTCGACCTCTGGCGGTAACATGACATTTTTTCGGGGCTGTAGATTTCTAATATGATTATGCACGTCAATCAAATATAAGCTGCAGCACATTCTTGTTTGAATGTGTTTTGTATGATTTAATTGTTATTTAATCGGTTGGCGGTGTTTAATATGTGCAATTTACCTCGTTGTAATTCGGAGATCATAAATCACTCCAAATGACAGCATAAATCACGCTGCATCTTGAGACCGGAAGTGACGCAGAGCCATTAATCAGGGTGGTGAATCTGCTAAATTTCTCAGATTGTTTTGTAGCTTGTGAGCCCAGGGGAATTTGACTGTCTGTGGTGGGGGAGCACTGCGTAAGAGTGAATGAGAAATTCTAGATTAGCCCTTGACACCATACTGCATGGGTTGGCCTAGACACGCAGTCAGACGTCAGAGACAACGAAAAGGAAAGACAGATTTGTGGACAAGTGAAAACTTCCTTTCCTCCCATGATATGCTGTGACCAGACTGAAGCTTCTATCTCTGAAATAAGTAAATATTTTCTAAATTCTGTATTCTACACACTGAGATAAATGGGAGCACGTCTAACAAAACTGGATACAGTAGCAGCCATTCATCTTAGTTGAACGATACAGTATTGTTCATTTCTGCTCAGTCGCCCCACTCTTGGATAAAATCATCCATCCATCCATCCATCTTCTTGTTTTTCTTAGTCAGGGTTGCAGCCTATTACGTAAAATTAAACATCAGTACTGTACATCACTTTACTGCATGTTTATCAGCATGCTCTAGTTACAGCAGCCATTAAAGAAAATATGATTTTATTAATGTTGCTATGATACAGCATTAATGCGATTTTGGCATTAAGGATGGGATTCTTTGAGCAGCAAATAATTAGAATCTCCTTGTCCTCTCTGTGAGGTGTTATTCAGCACCTCCCCACTCATTCAACCTGTTTAACTGCCTCGCATGACAGGGCCCCCCCATCCTCGCTAGAGATGTTCTCTTGGACGTCTGCCAGTGGGGGCCCATGAAACGGGTAATGTAGTCCCTCAGGTTGGGCCTATTCTTTTCCTTACATGAGAGAAGGAGATGGAGTGAGTCCCATTCAAAGAAACAATCAGTAAAACATTTAAAATGTGTTACATTGTAACAATGATTATGGCCCTCAAAGGGAATGATTCATTGGTATGATAAAAGCTTCAACTGGCAGATTAGGGATCATCTCCGCCTTCTGGATCGAAGGACATGGCTTAGGTCGCCTCGAACAGGCTGATGTACGAAGTTTAATGGTAGCGATCAATTGTTCGCATGATTCTGCAGTTTGATAGTATGTAATGTATTAATACAGAGCCATTGCCGTTTATGAATGCTAACTGCGCAGTGATGAGCACGACCTCAGATGTAGCAGATAATGATCGTCGTGGTTCTCATGTAGTTAGACTGCTTGTTAGAGGAGCATTTTTTTTAAATATACAGAGAATGGTGAGCAAAGCAGAGGTTGCAGTCAGTTTCATGCTGACGTCTTCAGCCTGATTGCTGGTTTTTACAGGAAGCGTGGCATCTTCCGGAAGAACTGGAGTGACACTGAACTACAGTGTGATTTTTTTTTTCTCTTTTTTCAGGTATTTTTTTTTACTTTGATGATAATTGTTATTCAGCCACAGAAGAAAAAAAATATGGTAACACTTTACTTAAGGCCATGTTTTTAGTAATTTATAAACACATTCATACTGCATTATAAAGCATTCATAAAGCATTTTATAAACATGGCTCTAAATATTTATAAAAAGGCATAACACATTATAGCCATGTTTATAATGCTCTATGAAGCTCTCATCTATAACACAAGGCAACAAAAAAAAATGTTGTTTTGTTCCTGGCAAGACAATGTTATTTTCGTGTTGCTTGGGTCAAAAGCAACTAGTAACAATCATCCATTGAGTCAAAACATTGGTTTTGTAACTTCTGTCCAACATTTTGTATACAGTCATGGCCATAAGTTTAGCATCACTGCAGCAAAACTTTGTTTGAGTCACTGCTAATAATTCTGTCATTCAATGGCATTAAGTTATGGTGCCAAGCTGTTGTATATATAAAGTCTAAACATACACCAATGTAAGTGCTGTAACATCAGTCGGATATATCGCCAGATGTCGTTGACATGGCTACCTAGAAGAATTTTTTCCCAAGCTGTCTGAGGCTAAAGTAAAAGCTGGTATCTTTGTTGGACCACAGATAAAGAAAATCATGGAGTGTCAGCAATTTCCCAGCACTCTCACAGAGGTCCAAAAGGCAGCTTGGAGTAGCTTCATCGCAGTAGTACGGGAATTCCTTGGAAATCATAAGGCTGAGAATTATGTGGATCTGGTAGTGACACTAGTAAGGAACTATCAGGCTATGGGGTGTAGGATGTTGATAAAGGTGCACATCCTGGATGCTCATCTACAGAATTTTAAGGAGAACATGGGAGCGTACTCAGAGGAACAAGGAGAAAGATTCCACCAAAGATCTCAAGGAATTCGAGCGTCGATACCAAGGGCAATACAACGAGAATATGATGGGGGACTACATCTGGGGTCTTGTTCGTGACAGGAACTTTTTTTACAATTATCAGTCTAAAAGGACATGTAATTTTTAAGTTTAATTGGACTATATGGACACAAGTCAGAAGATTTTGTAAAAAAAGTCTCTTGCAAAGGCTGTTAATGTTATTTAATGCGTGTTCTGAACTATTGATGTCCTGACCACAAAATCAAAGTTATTTTGAAATGAAAGTTATTTTCTATCATTTGGATATATAAGCTAACAGGAACTAATAGTTATTTCACAGACACAAAAACTGTGTTACATGGTGTAATGAACTATATATAAGTGTTGCCAAAATAATTATTGCTTTTTTTGGGGGTGTGGGGTGTTGAAATGAAGGAAATTAACACCATACCCTGTCTTTTTGGAAGCAGTGTAATTATTTACTTTTATGAAAGGAAAAGGACATGGAAGCCAATCTTAGACCTGAGTGTGCCGTCTGCTCTGGATCCCCATACAGGAGCAGCACGTCTGTCACGCTAACAAATAAATAAATAAGCAGATCCGAGTCGGAGGCCAAGACACCTCTCTGATTCCTAGGAGCAGCTTCCGTGTTCTGCAATCTCTCACCACACCCGAGCTTCACTTTTCCCTCCAAATATAACCTTTTTCATCCCCCTGTGGTCGTTTGAGATTTAGTTTGATAGACTGAGGTAACACCACAGGTATATTTAGAATTTACCAAAACTAACTCATAAAATCTGACGTAGAACTACGGTTCCAAAAATATAAACTTCTCTGCTGGGTCTCTGTGCAACTGTGTCTTTTTCTGATGAGCTCTCTAAATAGCTTCTCTCCCCTGTGTAACCTAGAAGGCCCTCAGGCTCTAAACAACTGCACTGCTCATGAAATCGCTGCTACCTGTTAACATTTACCCACTTTGAAGGTTTTACGGAAGTTATGTGTCCACAAAACTGTCAGCCCAATAGCTGATATCCATCTCAGCTGTTCATTTTGAGGTTTATGACAGAAGGGATTCACTCAGCAATAATCATTTACATGTACAGGTGACAACATGGTGTATGTTTTATAGTGTACATATTTTAAAAAGGGCACTTTTCTGTAGAAGTTTGTAGTTAAAACAGGGTAAATTAGCTCCGTGTTTTACAGGATCTGCACTGTGTTCAGGAGGAGCAGTGGATGTCCGGCCTTTGTTCCTCATTGCGGCAAATTTTCTGTTTTGGTTTTCAGGGTAAAGTGCCATATGAGGGGGTCTGTTGTTTTACTGTATCTTGTGAACCTCAACATAGGACGGTATTAGGAATCCTCAGTGTTGGGCATTGTAGGTCCAGAAACTGCAAATCCCTACCAATATTTTGATTCTACCCACCTGCTGAGCATAAAGACTCACACTCACGGAGTACTCACCTGGTTGGTAGAAACAAAATCTTGGTCTGGATTTGTAGTTTCTAGGCCTGCAATACCCAACACTGGGAATCCCCCTGTCTGATAACCTCCATGTTCTGTGTTTTCATACTTTAATGATTCCACTGATGAATAGAACAGACCTGCACTGCAGTGATGACAGAGGGTCCAGTGTGGGGAAATGCTGTGTCAAATGCCTTAAGCCTCATACAGGCATAAACACTGGCAGGTTATTA